GATATTACCCTGTAGGCATGGGGAGCCTCTGAGACTTTTAATCAGGAGAGGAACTTGACTAGAGCTGTGCTTTGCTAAGTTTGCTCTGGTGACAGTAGGAGCGGTAGATGCTGGAGACAGGCACTTCCAGCAATGGGAAAGACAAGGACCGCCTGACTGGACCCCAACAATTCTCACCACCATCTTCTGTAACCAGGACCAATGTCTGGGGGATGGGGCTGAGGGCAGGGGTTGCTAGGTGGTAGGTCTTTTCCCTTTTGGGGCTTGATGGGGTATAAACGTATCAAGCACCCCAACCCCATGAACTGCAGCAGTACACAGTTGGGGAACATGGGGAGGGGGTAAGGATCTTGGGAAAGAGGAAGGGTTCTCATCTTCTTGCCAGGGACATACTTTTTAACTTTGCTCTTTTGTAAACAAATTCTGAAAGAAAACCAACAAAATGCACCTAAGCCATCAAAAAAAAAAAAAAAAAAAGAGCAAGTGTGGACTACAGTGATTTGTATAATCAGTACTTTTAAAGGCTGGGAATAGGAGGTGGAAATAAGAAAGGAAGGAAGCCGCAGAGGGTTAGAGGCCACAAAGAAGCATTTGCAGAGAACTGCCCTGTCAGTTGCTTCCTCAAATGGCTTGCAGATGAAACAAATCTTTTCTCTCCTCCTTCAAAGAGGCCCTAGAAGGACAGTTCTGCATCCTCTTTTTAAATCCACTCCTAACTCACACCCAGATTTATTTCTAGAAGTCCTTGGTTCAAGTAAACCAATATCAACATCTTCAGAGATCTTTGGACAAAATATGATTCCATGGCTGTGTTTTGTTTCTTGGTGTGTGGAGCTCTTTCCTTCATGGTCCGTGGAAAGATGTCTTGGAACAACGTGTGTTGGAATGTGAGGGAAATAATGAGGACTCATGCCAGCCATTTGCAAGAGTGATGAATGTTTTGAGGAAGGCCATCTGCCAAGTTCATCCTTCTAACTTGAAAATTGGGTAAAATATCAGGTGCAGGGAAAAGTCAGGGAAGAGAATCTCTCCATCATAGATGAGTCAAAAACTGATAAGTAACCACCCCCCTGCAATTATACAAAGATTGAAAGACAAGGCAAGGGAGAGTTATTTTCATCATGTGACCCACAAACCCCCCAAACCCATCTGTAACAGTTTATGATGAGAAGAGTGCAGAGACACCAACCCTTGGAAACATCTATGTGATACATTCCGGAATGGTAACGTTGTATTTTACCCTTAATGAAATAATGACATTAGGCAGTAAAGGAAAACTTGTCTCAGCAATCCACTGATTTGTGTTCAATAACTTTATTCTTGGATCTTGCCATTCCCCGTTTTCTTGGATTGTGTTATTTTTATCTCCAGATGTGCATGACATCTTGAAAATTACAGTAAAGTAAGTAAAATGAATGTTTATTACTTGAATACCATTTCATAATACATGCTTCCTTGTGTTTGCAATGCAGAGAGTATTTTAATCATCTTTATGTATCTTAATAATCCTGCTTTTGATGTAGAATATAATGGTGTGTAGCCCTGGTACATCTTCAAGTCCCTGCTGGCTCTGGTTCTGCTAGTCTGCTAGTTAATTCTGCAGGCCTTCTGGTCCTGTTTTCAAAACTAGGGTACTCAATATGTTTGGGGGCGGAGGATGGTAAGCAAAGTTAAGTGGTAAAAAAAAAGCACATCTTAATCTGATCAAAATGGAAAGAATAGAGATACATTATGAAACAGATGTAAAATGTGTTTGTATTTCAAAAATAACATGAAATCAAGAAGAAATTTTGTATCTGGAACTGGTTGCTCAAAAACACTTCCTGGCCCTCTATACTACTGAACCCCCTCACTTCCTCACCCAGGTTTGCTTTCACCCTGCTCTGGTTATAGGTGCTTTGGAGGAACTTATTAAAGCTCTAGCCTTGGAAAGAAGCTGGAACTGGAGTCAGGGTAGCCTTATTTTGTCTTTACTACTTAGTAACCATGTTGCCGTAAGCAAGGACATTAACTGTTCTGAGCCTAGCTTCTCTCTTTAGCGAGATGCTCTTTGTACCCCACAAGGTCACTAAGATTGAAATGTAATTAGATTGCTAATACCAAACTGGATTTTGATCTTCAGTGGAATGAATATGAAATTCAAAATATAGCTCTTTGTTTTAAAAAAAACATTCAAAAAGCAAACTTCTTAAAGACTGGGCCTCAATTTTTTTCTGGGTGCTGTTCCATAATTTTCACCTTGGTTGATTTCATAATAATGTCTTGAGTTCTTTTGACACTAATGCCCTTTGCATATTAAATACATCGGGATTTTTTTCTTCCACAAAGAAATACACCTTCTCAATGCTCACTTCTCCAGTGCATTCTGATTTCTGTTCAAATGCCACTTCTTTGGAATGGCCTTCCCTGACCAATGTATCTGCCTCTTCACCCCATCCCTACCCTGCACCCTTACCTTACACCTGCTGTTTTTTCTTCTCCTATTGCATACAACTCTCTGAAGGTCTATTGTATATTTATTTATTGTCTCTCTCTTACACAAGTAAGAAACAGCTTGACAAAGGGATGAACATGTCCATCCTCCCCACCCCCACCCCCTGCCCCAGTGCTATATCCTTAGTGTTTAAAACAGTATCTGGCTCAAAGTAGATCCTCAATAAATATCTGTAGAATGAAGCAAGGAATAATGTTTTTTTCCTTTATATATATGTGAAGTCTTTCATGTCCCCATATTTGATAGTGACATTGGAAGAAGATATTTCTTTACTATAAAATATCAATGTTGCAACTCTCATGAGAAATGGCAGTTAGTGGGTGATTTCGAGTACAGGAGGCCAAGGAAGTGGCGGGGACCATGCGTGGGGAGGCAAGGCCCATCTAACCTGGAGGGTGAGGTGGGGGTCAGAAATTTCCCAGCTCTGGATTCATATTTCCATGCTGTAGGCCCAGTGCTGCCGTATCTTCTCGTTTCTTTTAAAGATGATAGAAATCTCCATTGATTTTTTTAATGTTGGCTCAAAAAAAAAAAAAAAAACCCCAGAATAAAAACAAATTTGCAGGCCAAACACAATACTTCTTTGGGTTGCTTTTGACCTCTGGGGTACATACTTTTCATTCTCTAGGAAGCCTGGAAGTTAGAATGGGATACATGCCTAAGATGTCCTTGATGGGTTCTGGCCCCCAGTGAACGGTCTGGTTAGGTCCAGCAGGAATGCATAGGTTAAGACAGGGACCTAAGCCTAAGAGCCCTGAACTTCCAATTCAAAATTAGCCTAGTCCCAAATCACCTTCCTGGGTTGGCCTCACCTTAACATGCTCCCTTCTGCAACTCCTCAGCACTTGCCAATTTGTGCCAATTTGCTCGTGCAAGTTTATTAGTCTCAGACCACTTCAAATGCATACACACCCTATTTTGAGCTCTGACGATATCCCATTAATGTTCCAAACTTGGTATTGGTATCTTCCCTCACTAGCGTTTAAGAGACAGGATTGTTAATGGCTGCGAATTATTGGTCTTTGTGTCCCAGCTATGCCTAGTGGGGAACCTTGCCCGTACGTCCTGAGTAAGAAATGTTGGCTGAACATGAGCTGTCTGGTTAGTTCCTAGAACAGTGTCTTACAGTGGGTAGACAGCTGGCAGTCAAGACACATTTATTGATTGAATGACTGCTTTCCTCATTACACTTATTCTGTCTTCTGTCAATCCAGCAGCCTTTCCTGGCCCTGAATGTCCCTCATCCACAGCTTCATCCATACAGTTCCAATCCCTCCATGGTGATGTGGAGAAGGCCAATTCGCACCAGCAGATAGGAACCGTTCCCTTGAAATTCTTCTACTAGCAGAAGCTCAGCATGAAGGACAGTTCCCCATTGGAATATGATTTTTAATACTTGTACTTATTAGGTAGGGTATCATTGTATGCAATGCTTATGTGTCATGAACTAAGTGATAAAGTCTTCAGAGCTGAAAACAGTTCTTAATTTAATAGCATCTATTCTCATCACAGGAAAGCAGAAGTGACAATGATCAGCAGTTTCCAAACTCTTGTTAGTCCAGTGACTTCATCAAGTAGCCAGACTCCTAAGTTACCACCTCCCCTGGCAAGTCACACACAGCAACCAAAGGAATCATAGAACAGTCTTGCCCCTAAGGTGGTTCACCTAGTAGTTTACTTAGCCTGTAGATGCTTCCCCTGCAACATTTCCTCCTTCTCTGCCCATCACCCACAGCTCCCACACAAATTCACTTAGCAAGGGACTGTCAACATCAATTGAATTTCAGGGAAGGGAGTTTTTTTCCTTAATGAAAAAACTAAATCAGCTTCGCACAGTTGCGGTGACGTGCCTTGGTGAAGGAAGGCTACCTGGATGCCTACACAGAACACAGTTTTATAGAGTAACCCCCCCACTGCAAGGCAAGGCGCCAGGTAACGTGATCTGCTTTCACACAGCCTAGTGTTAAGGCGCTGCTGCCACTCACTGGAAAGTTTACTATCTCTCTTTTATTGTGATTACAAAAGCTAACTGCAAAACCCGAAACCTTGCTGGGAAATTGCCTACCTACATAAAGAACACAGAGACCCTATCGTTTCAGAGTTCAGTTCTTTCCGAGCTTTTTAATAAAGGAGTTTTTGTCTGCTTTGTGAGGCTCCAACCACGGAGGAACTTCAAATCCAGGTTAGCTGATGGCTTGGAGTGTTTCCATGGAAGAGGCACTCTTTGGTGGTTTTCAGACAGGTGCTCTACAGTTTAAGTCACAAAAGTTAATTAAAACTGCAGCCCTGATACATTTTAGATAGTGGGAAGAGGGAGGAAGAAAAGAGAGAGGGAGAGAAAGGGAGACAGAGTTTCCTACTAAATGATGTCTCCTGTTTTTCCTGATCCTATCAGCTTTCTTGGAAGGAGGTGTTACAGTGTGTTCACTCTTCCCCTATTTGCCTTCACCACCCTCAGGCTCAAGGTTTGAGTACTATAATCACAATGCCCAGGGTGTTGGGAGGTGTTTATTTTTATCCCCACTGCCAGCGTCATCACAGCGTGTGTGATCCAAATTTACACTCCTCATATACACAGCATGTGGCCCTGCTGCCGAACCAGCTGCTTTCCCCAAGGCTGAAGTATGGTTAAGTTTCATGTTTTGCCTCATCAAAAAGGTGATAGCAAAAACATATGAGTGAAACCTACACTCCCGGTAGCTTACTAAACAAATTTGAAATGTGTTCCAAACGTGTGATTTGTTGTTCGGTGGGAGCCCGGGACTGAGAATGTGTGTGTGTGGACGTGTGTGGATGTGTCATAGCTGTTGCAGACACACTGACGACTCTAAATATGCTCTCCCTCCTTACTAATAGCAGAAACTGGCCTTCTGGGGCAGCAATGCGTTCGGCTCAAAGATCAAGTTTCCCTTAAGGTAGGTGTGGCCGTGTGAGCAGGTTCTGACTGACTGGACTGGGTCAGAGTATTCTGTGGGACTTCCAGGAAGCCTTCTGAAAAGGGAGGGAGGACACTTGCTCTTGCCATCTCCCTGCTGGCTGGGAAGCTGATAAGAGTCTAGCGCCCCAATTAGCCATCCTGGATGCCGAGGTGACCTTGAAGACAGAGCTGAGAACTGAGATGTGGAGCAGGAAGAGAGGAGGTGCCTCAGTCCCTGAAGATTTTGCTGAGTTGTCACACCAGCCCTGACCTGCCTCCTCTGGTTTTTCCTTATTGAGAGAAACCACCTTTGTGTTTGGGTCATTATTTTTGGTGTCTCTGTCACGAGTAGCCACGTGCAATTTCTAACTGATATCGTATCAACCTGAGGTTTAACATTTACAAGGCCTGATTCAATGGCTGAGTAAGCACAGAGTCTGTGTGCAAAAGGCTATCTGTTAATGTCCCTTGGGGAATTATTTCAGTTACCAATCATCTCCGAGTTCATACTTTAATGTAAGAATACTCATTTTAATTCCTCTTTGTGTTGGAATGATAAGGTCTCTAGAAAAGTATTGACTGAGCTTGGTTGTCCTACTTGACATTCAGTCTATGCAACGTGAATGTGTTACGTTTCTTTATTCATTTGGGAAATATTTACTCAGTACATGTTACGTGCAAGGCACAGCTTCAGATATTGGTGATGGTCCAGGGGTGGTTACATAAAGAAAAATGAGAGGAAGACTCTGACTTCGAACTGACTAGGAAAGGAGAGAATTAATAAATAGTAATAACAGCCAATGTTTGCTGAGCACTGTCAGCTGTGCTATTTCACATATATTATCTCATTTAATATTGACAGCAATCTTTTGATCTATGCAGGTTCTATTATTTTTCTCATTATACAGGCAAGGATCTAAAGGTACAAGGACATTTGGTAACTTGTACAAAGTCATCATGAGTGATGAAACTGGAATTTGCAAACAGTATTTGTGTGCTCTTAATCTCTATGCAATCTCTATGCAATGAGCCCATTTTATGTGCAAGGCTCTACATCATGTTGTAGGGCAGCCAGTCTCAATCGTGGTCCTGGGTCCAGCAGCTGCAGTGTCACCTGGGAAATCCTAGAAATGCAAATCACTGGCTTTCCCACAGACCTGCTGCATCAGAAACTCTGGGAAGGGGCCCAGCAATCTGGGTTTTCAGAAGACTTCCAGGTGATTCTGATGCCTGCTGAAGTTTGAGAACCACCGTGGTAGGGGATGAATAGATAAGTGAGACTCATTTAAGTTTGGAAGAGGATCAAGCAGGTATAAAAATAACTATAACTCAAGGCAGATAAGATAACATGCAGAAAGGAGGACTAGCGTCCTACTGAGTTTGAGTTTGCTACCAGATTTTCTAATTTTTCAAGAGAAGCTGGAATCCAGATTTTAATGGCAAGTCTCTCAACTTTACAAATTGGAACCAAAATAATGTTTTAAAAGAAATAAACAGGCAAAATAAAACCTGTCTGCAAAGCGGGCAGCAGCCTTTGAGCCCTACTGAGGGCAGTGGAGCTGCTTGGGGGCTTTCAGTAGTCCGCCCAGAGCAGCCCGGGAGTTAACTGAAAGGCACTGGGGGAACTGGACTAGAGTAGTAAGAGCCTAGCTCACTGTATTAGTCTGCGAGGGCTGCAAAGTACCACAACCAGAGGGACTTAATCAACAGAAATTGATCTTTTCACAGTTTTGGAGGAGAGAAACATAAAATCAAGGTGTGGGCAGGCTTAGTTTCTCCTGAGGGCTCTGAGGGAGAATCTGTTCTTTGCTGTCTTAGATTCTAGTAGCCCCAGGCATTCCTTGGTTTGTAGTTGCAAACTAACTCTCCATCTTCAAATGGCTGCCTTCTTCTAAGGACACCAGTCATATTGGATAGGAGCCCAGTCTACTCCCAGTACAGCCTCATCTTAACTAATTACATCGATGACTCTATTTCTAAGTAAGGTCACATATTGAGATAGTGGGGTTAGGATTTCAACATGTATCTTTGGGGTGGGGGTGTGTGACACAATTAAATCCATAACATTCACTTTTAGGTAGCATAATTCAATAGTTAAGCTCTTTGTTTTCTTCATAAGTGGAGGCTAATTCCTTAATTTTTTCATTATCCCTTTCTATGGGAATAGTTAACAGGATATGACACACCTTAATGAAATGTTGTAGTCGATGTGTAGATATTCAAATTCTTTAAAGTCAATTGAAATATCAACAAACTAAGACATGGAGCTAGTGGTAAAGCAAATGACCTTGCCTTATGTGAAGCAGAACACACAAAACAGAGCTCATTTAGAAGATACTTGAGATACTTGTGATTTTTGAGCACTTTGATGAAGAAAGGCTACTTTGATAGAAACCCAAATATTCTTTTTGGCTTAAGGTGAGGCCATAGCCCAATGATTTTAAAGGGCCCCAATCAACACTTTCAGTATTTGATTAGGGTCTGGCTAGACACTGAAATGTGGTGAGTTTTAGATATGGGATGATAAATCTAGAAAAATTTAGGGGCATACAGGCAAGAAAGGTTCTACTTCTCTATGTGATTTGTACCCCAAATCTAATAGGCAAGTCTGACACAAAGATCAAAAGACAAGCTCATATGTTCTGAGAAGTTCCTCACTCCTCAAAAGCTAGAAATTTTTTTTTAATTCTAATTTTACCTTACTTTAAGGCACAATCTCCAATTGCATACTTTTAGATTTTTGCAGATTTTTTCCTTGTCTTTTGTGTGCACCTGCAAGCATATGTTTTATATAATTGAATCCAAAGTGAACCAGCTTAAAACTAATGTTTGAATTGACATTAATGATTTACTCCTTTTGGCTTTCTGAGGATTTCTATTCCTCCTTTGATTGTATTAAATTTTTTAGCACTACCCACACTTTCATTTTTTTCATTTTCTAATATTTTTGTTTAAAATAACATAGGCAAAAAGCATAAGAAAGGTTTAGTTTCACCTCCCTCCCTGCTTTTTTTTTTTTTTTTGGCTGAAGAATCGTTGTTCTAATTAATCCAAAAAGGGGTTGAGGAGATACTTTCTAGGGACTCCACCTGGGACCATCATTTGAAAATCACTCCAATGAAATATTTGCAGAAAGAAATGCTGAAGTCCTAATAAAATGGTTATGTTGCCAATTGTTGGCTGAAAGAGCAGCATGGTGTTGTAGCTTGAGCTGTGTGTCTCTCAACTCACTCGTTCAATAAGTATTTGTTAAGTGTCCCAAGTAGTGTGGCTATGTGCAATCTCAACAATGGTGTATGAAATATAAATTAAGGGGTCAATGTCTGGCAGATATTGCTAGTTGTCTTCTGTGGTAGCCAGCCTCCAAGATGGCCCCCAACAGTCTTCCTCTCCTGGTATCCATACCTTCAAGTAAGCCCCTGCTACCATGTGCCAGGGTGGTCTGTGTGACCAATAAGGAAAAGCAGAAGTGAAGGAATGTCATTTCTAAGATTAGGCTATGAAAGACTGTGACTTCCATCTTGGGCATGTTGTGTCTGTCTTTTGATCTGTCTCTCTCTTGCTCTTACTCTGTCTCTCTGTCTCTGTCTCTCTTTCTCTCTCTTAGATCACTTACACTGGGGGAAGCAAGCCCTCTTGTGAGCAATCTCATGCAGAGGCCCACATGGTAAGGAAATAAAGCTTCTAACTAACATCAGCAAGGAACCAAGACCTGTCAAACACCATGTGCATGTACTTGAAATGGATCTTGACCTTTCAGGTGACTGCAGCCCTGGCTGACAGCTTGACTGTAATTTCAAGAGCAACTCTGGGCCAGAACACCAGGTAGGTGCTTCTGCATTCTTCTTCCTCAGAAACTATGTGAAATAATACATGCTGATTACTTTAAGCTGGAAGTTTGGGGAGTAATTTGTTAACTAATAACTAATACACCTACTCAAAAGCTCTTCTTCCTTTTCTCCTTGCTAACAGGTCTCATTTTTTTTTCAAAGCATCAATGTGCCCAGAATAAAGACAAAACCAACGAACTAACCAAGCAAACCAACTAAACAGAAGTTACCCAAAAAGAAAGGTGAGACTCAATTTACAGAATCACCTTGGCCCTTGGCTCCTGAAACACAACATAAAACAAAATGCTTTTTAAAGTTGTATTTCAGACCCATACTTAAAACAACAACAAACATTTTAAATTCCTTCTCTGGGGTGCTTCAAGTGATGAGGAAATCATCAGAAACTATTTCAACAGTTTGACCCTTCTCGTCCCCACCCCAGGAACCAGACTGCTGGACTTGGCTGAGGATAAATGGAACTTGAGTTTCAAAACCTTCCTACCAGATAAAGTTTCAAATTTGTTGCCTTTGAAGACTGTGAAGATGTGAAATGTAGCAAACTGAATCGAACATTTACCAACAGTTGTTTGGAGAATTCTCTCACCTTCTTGGGCAAGAAACTGTTTACAGCCATGACTGTAAGAGCCCTCCTTTTTATTCTTCTCAGTAACTGGGGCTGCCTGGTATCTGAAGCTCTCTTATCTACCCAGACATTCTTTGATCCACCCACCTTAAACAGAACAGGAAAAAGGTTTTGTTTTGATTTTGTTTTTAATCATTGTCATGCTTTAAATGGAAAAATGTTAGGTTGGGTATTAGACTACACAAATTAAAAACATCTAAAAACAACACCTCAGAATGTGTTGTTTATAATCTAATGTAGAAATGAATAAAAAGTGAATTCAATCTTGGGTTAAAAAATTAACAAAAACTGTCTTGCTGAGGAAATTCCTTTCTTATACTTTCTTTTTCTCTTCAATCCCTTCCCCACTTCTTCACTGTCATTTAAAGTTATAATTCATCTATTGAAGTCAACAAAATCTGTTAAAAATCAACCTCCTGTAACAGTTAAAACTCTTTTATGTTAAGACCTTAAAAAATAACATTAGTTCAGTTATTTTGATATTAAAATGCTTTTGTTGGGGGAGGAGATTAGGAAGTGATCTACAGAACAAAAGAAACTGCACATGAGATCATGAAAATTAATTTCCAGCTGGTAGTAATCATAAGAGAAAGCAAAACATACCTCCTAAAGAAGTTACTATCATATGCCCATTTTCCTTGGAACAGAATAAACTTGCAAGGGAATCTGAACTTTTAATCAGTTCTTTGGCATTTTTCCAGTATGTGGCTATCCAGTAGTATATTCTTACTAGAGGGACTATTAAAATTTTTGGAGCTAAAATATGCTGAAAATATGATCAAACTTTAACAAATACATAAGAATGAAGGAATTGAAACTGAATATGTACTAGGACTTTTGATACCTAATCTGAATTGAAATGAGTTAGGAAAAAAATTCTGGTTGCTAGGTGAGGACTCACATTGTCTTACTTTGAAATGGAAATATGAACCCTTGATAAAGCCTTTTTTTTTTTAAATCACTTGGGCAATTTAAGGGACCTCCCAAATTGGTCATTCTTTTGCCCTAAACCCAAGTTCAAGTTCCTGTAATGCTTGGAGATGACTCTTCTGGCCCAAAGTTAAAGTTAATAGAATAGAGCATTTCCAGGTTGTGATGTTAGATGCATTAATATGACATGTGGATGCTATTTTTCAAATGTAGCTATAAGATTTTACCTCTGCACTGTAACTTGTGTTACAGTTTCCAATAAAAAGGAAGCCATGACCTAGATTGTTAGATGGATTTTGGTGTCAATCCTGAATAGAATCGTGGCTTTACTACATTTTAGTCTCGTAGCCATAGATAAAGATAAATTAACTTCTCTGAGTTTCTCATTGGCAAAATGAATATAATAGTAATCTCTCATGGTATTTTTGTGAGAATTAAATGAGAAAATATGTAAATCACATCTGCTTAACAGAGGTCATCTCCCCACCCCCACCTGGTTGTTCTTTTCCATTCCTCACAATATTTTAAATCTCTAACGTTAAGAATTCTCACACTTTACCATTTAAAGTACTTCCTCAGGATTCTCTGGAGTCTTCCTTCTCTCCTGATCTCTCATATCTTTCTTCCTTGGAGGGTCTTTTTCAGCCCCATTCTTCCCTCCTTTATCCTACATTCAATCTCAGTACTATTTAAACCTCTCACTTTGCTTTTCTCCATACCACTCCTCCCCATGACTCTCTTCCTCTTTTCTTCTCTAAAACTGAATAAGTCTTTTGATCCTTAGTACTTTCTCATTTTCTAAGGACAACCAGGTGCATATATCTACTTGTAAAAACACTGCACATTACAAATTCTTTTCAAGGAAAAAAATCCATTCATGTTCTCATTCAGTCCCTGCTGTATATTTACATTTTTAAAAAATATATTTTGTAAATAGCCAAGATGAAGCTGTTTGTGGCATAGTGGTGCAATGAACAGACTGTAGGAAGAGAGAAGTTGGTTCCTGTTCTGCTCTGGTGACCCTTGGTGGGTCCATTTACTTCTCAAGGTCTCAGTTTCTTCAACTGTAAAATGAAGCCATGGGAGAGAGTATTCCTGAGGTCTCTTCAGCTCTGAAAATAGTCCAAGAGTTGGTATCTTTATAAAATGGGAATGTTCTTCCAATACAGCCTAACCCAAGAGGGAAGCTGACCACAATATCATTATTCAATTTTCCTCCTTGGTTCCTACGCATAAGTGCAGAAAATAAGCAGCAGATCGATCCCTGCAGGCACAGATTAGGAGTACTTTCTGCCAGGGGGATAATTACCTCTTGGCCTTCTACCACGGGGCCTGTTCATGTTTAGCCACACCAATGCCCTTGGATGGCTCCACCTGGGCTCTCTTGCTTGGTTCCCCTTATTACAGATCTATAACTGCTCTATAATGAATTTGTGAAATGGCCAAACAGGGTTAAAGTTTCAAGTTTCCCCTGGAAGAGGACAGGTCTGTTGGTCTGTATCAGAGACAGACTCCAAATATCTCTGCAGCAAAGAGAAGCAGAGTGCTGGTCCAATCCAATGAGTTTATCAGCTTTGGAGAGGAGGAGGAGAGAGGTCAGAAACAAACATGTTTATAAAAATGTCCCCATTTATCCACTTCCTGATTCGGTTTGTTTTCAGAGTATTGTCAAATGCTTCCCTCGCCCCCAATGACAGTGAAGAGCCAGCAGGACAGAGGTTTCTGTGTTAAGACATGAATGTGAAGTCTCACTATATTTTGAGTGCTTAAGGAAGAGCAAATGGGAACTTTCCAGGGAAGATGGTGGGTGTTATTAACATGGAAATATGTATGAGGATTCCTAAATGAAGGCTTTATAGGGTGGAGTTGGAGGCTAATAAGACCCTGGCTGGTTGGGGGTGGGCAGGGTGTGGGACCGGGTGGGCGTAGGGACAAAGGGTAGGGAAGAAAGCCTTCTTTTGGACTCTGGGGACTCCGTGGGCCTGTTTAAAGGGCCTAGAATGAAGGCTGGAGGGGAGACTGAGCAAAACAGGGGAGGTGCTAGAGAAAGTAAAATGACTGGAGAGCTGGAGAACAGCAGGGAGGTCACTGGCCAGGGCAAGAGTGGGAACCTGCAACTGGAGGTAGAAAATACTAGGAGTTACTATTTTTTTAAAGTAATTCCTAAAGGTAAGGACCACACTGGGAAGGGCCTGGGATTGAAAGGAAAGTGGCCTCTAGGAGTCCCAGAGAGTGCTCTCAGCTTTGAACCTGTGTCAAGCCCATCACTGTACTGGTCAGCTTGGCTCCCTTACCTCCAGGCCTCTAACCTCTGCAGCTGAGGCCACAGCTGCCTGGTCTGCCCAAGGCTCTGCAGCCAACCTTGCTTCTACAAAGAAGCTAGAGCTGAGAGTTCCAGTCTATTGCCATCATGGTGACCTGGTTTCTCTTTCTACTGGGCTTGATCTGACTTGTAACTGGCCTTTTGCCTTATTTCCTTCTGACTAAGCCTCTGTCTTGGGTTCTAGGAGCTGCCTCTTTTTCTTATAATAATATTGCTAACATTTGACTGAGTACCAGCTGCTGTGCTAGTCCTCACACTTACTCTCTCATGTAACCCAGTGAGAGAGGTAATACTGCTCCCACTATGCAAATGAAAGAACTGAGGCTTAGGGAGCTTTGTTTGTTTTTTGTTTCGATTTGTTTTGTTTTGTTTTGCTTGTCCCAAATCATGGATCAGAGCCAGGGTTCAATCCATGCAGTTTACCACCAGAGCCCAACTGTGTACCCACCGCGCTGCCCTCCTTCTAAGTGCAGTCTCTGCTTGGCTTTGTCTGCCACTCTGCTTGTACCGGGATGACCTCCTATGTGTTCTTACTGTTGAACACCTCCAGCTTGTTTGCCTCGATACCCGGCTCAGTGGTCTGCCTGCCCTCTCGATCTTGACTGCTTCATGTTTATTGGTCCTGCTGCTCATAGAAAACCCTACTTGTGGCCCCTGAGATCCCCTAAGAGCCACGACTGAATATGATTCTTTCTGACTGGGCTTACTCTTCAGTAAAGTCTAACTGTGCTAGTGTAGTCAGAGCAGACAGACTGGAAGCAGAGCTCGGCCAGAGGAGGTGAGTACTCAGGGTGTGAAGTTGGCTGGAGGGCGGGATCAAGACTTCAGTAGCCCCAGCTAGAAATGGGTGGTGCAAGTTTGACTTCTAGATGAGCTGGGGAAGGACCTCTTCCTCTTTTCTGGTGAATTGGAGTTACTTACAGAATCAGTGGTGAGGCTTGAAGGATTCTGCCCTTTATTTGAGTGTGGCCTACCTTGGAGCATGGTGCTGTACTCTGATGTCCAGCTTTGGTTAGGGCAGACCTAGCCAACCTCTCTATCTATCACAGTCACTTGCAGAACTCCTGAGAACTGCTGAAATCTGTATTCTATCACCAGAAATTCATCTTCAGATGGTCTAGGGTGACCTCCAGGCATCCACAGTTTTCCAGTAAAGTGCTGCAGGGGATTCTAATGCACAGCCAGGGTTGCTAACTACTCATGTGCTGGGTGGTTCTTGGGCTGAGGGTATCACCAGTGAATAGAGCAAAGCAGCATGACTTGGGAAAGAAAGAAGTCTTTAACCTTGCTTTTCATTGTGAAACCTAGCTATTATGTAATGTAAATCTGATCAAAGAAGGAGGGCCAAACAGGCTTCTTAAATTGTCCAGGACTGCTAGAGGAAGCACACAATGTACTTGGAAGGTGCCATGGTCAAAGGGCTTGAAGAGGACACTGGAGCAAGGAGGCTCCTCTCTGGGACTGGGAGTAGCTCAGGAGCAGGGTGATGGAGGGAAAAGTTCTCGATTCTATACTAATGTGGCCCCTAGTTGCCCTGAAATCTTGGACTACTATTCCAAGAACTGCCCCAAAGTGTTAAACTCTAAGTAAATCAAAATTGCAAAGGCAGAAATGCCAAAGGAGAGCCTGAGAAAAGGCCAAGTAAAGGCATGGATCATTATTTAAAATGTTGTCTTCGCATGATGGCTGTGATGATCCACATTTGATGCAAAAGCAAAACAAACAAAAAACAAACAAAAAAACCCCCAAAACAAATATATTTTAAACAAGATTTAAGACACACTGATGAGGTCAAGGGTTTTCTTAGCAGGAAAGATGTCTGTGATGTTTACTTGGTTTTGCTCAGATCTTTAACATTTTCACTTCCTGTTTCTTAGCTTTTATTTTTAAGTCTGTGAGCTTAGAAGGGTCAACTTTAGGTTAAGTGGTATATTTTTTATCAAAGTTTTGAAATAAAACTAACTTCTATGATTAAAAAGATAGTAAATCTCTGATCACTAGGGTTTTCGTGTCAGACAA